GCAGATGTCTTTATGGCGAAGTTTGAGCATAGTTCATTGAGACCACGCATCAACGGAATCGAGATGTATATACGTTATGTGGACGACACATTCTCTGCAGATCGAAAATGCAGGCTATGAAACTGTTAAAAGCCTTTACTGAGGCACATCAGAATCTACAATTTACCCGTGAGCACGAGTCTGGAAACCGCCTACCATTTCTGGACGTTGATGTCATCAGAAACCTCGATGGATCGTGCGGCAGAACAGTGTATATAATACCAACTTGGACTGCACAGTACACCAAGTTCTATAGTGCGGTACCTCTAAAGTACAAACGTAGTCTAGTCCGCACTTTTGCCTGCCGGGCACACAGCGTTTGCACACCGGATACCATCACCAAGAAATTGCAGAGAATCAGTGACACTCTAAGAGCGAATGTGTATCCAGATAAATTCATCCTCCAAAGGACGCAAGACACCACCACCGAGGATGAGTGTACCCAAGGATTTTTCCTTTCAACGGCGACAGTGCACTTGATGCCCTGTCCAAACGCCTGAAAGACGCAGTTGAAAAGATCTATTTCGCAGCTCGCCCACGCATATTGCAACATGCCTGTTATTAGGAGAACAGCTATTAGACATTCATTTATTGTGACCGAGCTTGATAGCTATTCTTTACTCTTCCTATTTTCTATTTCTTGACTGTTGTTTAAACGCTCTACTGGGTTCGCCCGATTGGTACATCCGCGTCATTGTTAATGGACGCTCATCGTCATGCCCTTCTCAGCAGCGTTGTTTGCAAGAACATATTCTATTGGTTTTTTTTCTCATCACTGTTCTACTTGGTTGTTAAAGGAATATTTAGTGTCACAATTATTGTACTAGTTTTCAACTTTTAGGCATGCATTCCTTATTCGCGTTTGTTTCGTGACTTATGTTTAAACGTTTCATTTCGTCATTCTGATTGGCCAGTGCCCGTCACTGTAAATGGTCGTTCGCTTTACGCTTGGAGTCCAATGATGCCATTTTTAATGACCTACGCGATTCGCTCTTACGTACACGGTTGCTTATTCGCCGTTGCATTTTACGTTTTTTCCTTCAGTTGGTTGGCTCTAGTGTACTTAATGGCTTCCCTTCATTTTGCCTTCAAACTATATAAGCAACTGTGGTTTCATGTATACAAATCTTTTTCTGGCTCGTCTTGTACTTCTTCTTGCGGTCATGGGGTGAAGGCGTCAGCGGCGACACAACACCTGTACTCGAAAAATTTTGAAATATAGGCTGCTTCTGTTGACTCAATCCATGCTTGTTTATCAGTACTCGTGCTCCTGTGGTGCATGATACCTTGGTCGTACTATGAGACGTCTATCTTATATGGTTCACGAACACATTCCGAAGGGGTATTACAGAGGCAAAGCCAGATCTTGTAATAGCTCCATCTTGTCGCACCACTTAGAGTGCGATCTCACAGGAAAATGATTTCAGTGTCATCTACACTACTCCTGAGTGTTTCTCGCGCGGATTCCGAAAGCATCTCCTATCCATGGTGGAGGCTATCTATATCCGCCACCTCAAGCCGGCGTTGTGCGTACAAAGACAGTTTGTACGCCCTTTACTTCTACCGTGGCCTACAACTTCCTTTGATTGGTGTCCGTTAATTTTTGTTTGTGAAAGTGATTTGCCCATTGTACATAATCTGCCAGCTTCAGTGACCGCGTGATTTATTGATTCGTTTCCGTTGGAATTAAACATTCTAATCAATGCGTCGCCTATCCGGCACGTTCAGCATATAATTGCCATCATGTAAAGTTTGAGTCTGATGAGAGTTACCGAAAAGAGTTTTTTACTCAGAATCTGCCTCCTTTGATTCCTTCTATTAAACCGTTTAATCAATTGACCTGCTGTAAAATAATCTGACCTATTCTAACTTAGTGTCTATTCTTGTAACGACCTGATGATGAATTAATCGAAAAAATAGTTTATCAAAAGCTTACTGCTCATTTGCCTTTTTGGAAAATTGGCTTCTTACATGAATAACGAAGATGTCGCATTTTGGAACATGCTTCACCATCATCTGTGGAGTATCATAAGATCAGTCTTTGTCTTTTTCTGTTGAGGGTGTTGTTGGTGCGTAGACAGAGATTATGGTCATATTCAACGGATGACTTCTGAAACGAGCAACTACTATTCTAGCTGATACTGACTTTCATGAAAGGATGGCGTTATGCGCCTGACAACTAGAGCCACGACGACCCCTTCATTGCCATACTTATCTGCCGGCCTACTGTGGTAGAACCAATATGAAGTGTCTACACCAGGGATTTGAATTTGTCGAAAGTCAAAGCCGGGTATTCGAGATTATAACAGACAAGCTATATCGATCTAGTAGTCATGTAGTGTGCGCATGGTCAACGCTTAGCTGCCGACATCCTACAGGGTCCTGACATTCCAGCATTCAACGAATAAGGGCTTCCAAGGATTGAGGGACCTAGCTTGCTTACTGATCACTAGGTCAGTGCAGAGCGCGTCGCCTATCGGGAACGGCGTAGCATAAACAGGGTCACGTGTAACGGACATGTCATGAAGTTTCGTGGGGATTATGGGTACGTATGAGGACCCCAACCTAATCCAGCTTTTATTCGAGGGTTCACTCCTAGCCTTTGCACAGACAGTCGCTACGTACATGGCAGCAGGGATGTAAGAAATTGTCTTAACTTCTGGCCGTTGGATCAGGGGTCGATCTCTTCCGCAAATGGTTCGGCAGCAGTGTTCCAGGATGTGGTGGGTTTTCGCCTGGCAAGCGTTCTCCCTATAAAAAGCCACATATGTCCGTTTAACAACACTGTGACGTGGCGGACATGACTAGCCACTAAATAAAGTCACTGCCCCTTGCTTCATCCTGGCGAAGCATTGTATTCCAGCAATCTTATGCTGTACTTCTGGGGAGCATTGGGCCCCTGTTTGACAAAGGAACAAACGAAAGGCGTATGAACTGAGCAATCAGTCACCGGCTCCCAATGGGCGCGATTCCCTGAATTCGCTCCGCTGCCTTGCGGGCAGGCTATCAAGCCAAAGGCTCGGGGGTGGTGTCCCATAAGTCAACACCCTACTTCGGCTTGGGCAACCGGGTAGTATCTCGCCCTCTGAGGAAACCATGGACATTGTTGTGTTGTGTTTTATTTTACTGTTTCTGTACCTTCTTTTGAATCCCATGGTTTCTGATGGCATTATGTCTGTTAACAGACTTTTGCAAGTATATATATATATATATATATATATATATATATATATATATATATATATATATATATATATATATATATATATATATATATATGCCCAGTTGTCAGGACTGACGCACGCGGGTACGAACTCACCGAGAAGTGTTCCCGGCTACTCTCACCTGGTTTTACCCATCTGTCTGACAGTTGACCGGGGTGTGGCCGCTGCCACATATAAGCAGCTTCTTGGATCCACTGGTGAGAGCTGGACTACAATTGGAGACCAAAGATAGGCGGACTACCCCGGAGGGTAAGACAGGTCCCCTACCAGAGGTGCTACTCCTCCCGGACACCCCATCAGAATAGCGTTAGTATCGACCGTAAGACATGATACCGCTATCCCTAAACAGTTAGGTGTACTTGGGGGTATTCGGTTTTTCCCTCGGCTGTGTGCTTTAACTGCAAACGTTTCGTTACAACACTAGGGAACATCCTCAGGGCAAACTTCTAGTGGCGAGGTGCTCCTCGTGTGGTCCGAGCCTCCTTGGCCAGCTTGAGTTTAACAAACTCGGCTAGCAAGTGGTCTGCTTCACCACCCCTTCTCACTTTGTTCTCCAGCCACCTCAAGCTCCATTGCACAGTATCTCTGAATATAAGTACTCCAACCCTCCAGCAATCCAATCACTTCGTGCCTTCCAGGCACCTGATTACGACGGATATTATGTGTATACTTAAACAAACCTGAACTAAAGGAAGCCAGTGCTTTTTGACCTTGCGCAGCCACTTCCCCCATTCACATGTCTGTCCTTTTCGCACTACGTTTCGTGCTAAATGACATGCCTTTCTGATGCCATGCACGTTTATCAAGGTTGTTATACCTCCTCACATTTCCATCATGTTTTGAACCGCTGTCCATTTGTGTAGTTTTGTGATTAGGCACATCGAGTCTGAATGTAATGCTTTGAGATCATAGCTATCGTTCCACTGGACATGCCGTTCCTTACCAGGCTTTTCAACACTGTCTCAATTACTGTTAAATATCGAAGTTTGGAACTCTCATCTGTAAACTCTAAGCCACCTGACTCCACGCTGCCTACATAGTGTTCATGTTAACGTATGACGATGACCGGTCATGCCTTTGAATTGACATAAGCCTGGTTGTGACCATGTCCTACTTCTGACAATTTCGGAAAGTGTCATCTGGTGATTTGAGACAAACTTTTTTCAGGTCGAGAAATTGGTTTCCCTCTTATCTAACTAATAGTATGGCAGTGATACATATTCGTATTCAATAGTCGAACAAGATCTCTTATTGCCCAAACCCGTTTCTGCTTATTCTTTGTAGCAATTTGATAATGACGCATTGATGGGTTCTACATAAGCAGCGATGCCTTGGAGTCAAAGTTATGCCTCGCACTCTGAGTTACGCTGTGTCGAAATTCCGCGTTGTTAAGCCCAGTGAGCGCTTGTCCATTTCGTTTGACGAATGGACTTGCCGTGTGAAATGCGAACTCTCGCCTGCTGCTTTAATTTGCACACTGGATTTATTCACACACTGGATTTCCGTGTCCCTATTCATAAGTACCTACTAACGCTGGTCAAACTTCTTGCTACATCACATCACGACGCTTGTATTGGTGCCCACTCCGCCGACTTATATTATGTGTAGGAACTTTTTCTTCTGCACATTTCTGCTAAATCATATTCTTTGTTTGTGACCCTTAGAATCTTTCTACTTTCGAGTGCTTTCTGTTTCGACTGGTTTTTGTAATACGTGTGCTTTTTTTCTTTTATTCAGCGGCTGTTGGCTCGCAGTCTCAACTAATTTCTGGTGTCCCGACTCCAGTGACCCACGATCAGTCAGACTACTATTATCAGGTAGGCGACTTTCAAATTCGACAATTTCTACCCTTGCGCATCTAACTGTTATCATTTCTTTTCTGTCACGATTGAACGTTGTTTCCCCACCTCCCGCATTCGATAGATCCCTCGCGGACAGACAGCTTCCTTTCACTGTGGAACTGGTAGAGAATATGACACCTCGTCTACACTTTGCGGATCAGTTGCAGAATGGTTCGTTGAATTGAGAAGTCGTCTACCCATGTGTTTGGTAGGATGATACAAAAACTGAGTTTCATTGGGAACTTGATACTGGACAGCAGGGGGGCAAATATTAGCTCAGTCTCTTTGCTTTTGACCCCGGCAGAGCTTCACTCCATACTCCCTTCCCCTCTTAACTTGAAGCGATCACACTCGAATGTATCCACCAATCCCTCTGACTGGCCATCCGATTGTAAGTGAATCGGTGGTGAGCGAATATGTTGGATGGCACATCGCTTGCAGAACTCTGTGAAAGTTGCCGAACTAAACTGTGTGCCATTGCCACTTACAAGGGTTTATGGACAACCGAATCTGCTGAGGATTTGCCGTAGTCTTGATACAATGGCATTGGTTGTTGTGCCATCCATGCGAACCAAGTTGGGCGAAACCGCGAGGTGGCTAGTCTATGACGTGGCATAAAATCTTGAATAAACTGAATGAGAGGCTTAGCCAGATTGGTACGTGTCGTCTTTTTGAATGAGGCGTCGGGATGGTCCACACCAATGGTTGGAAACCGTATCAGACATGACGCAGTCAATGGCGTTTCTGCATTCGATTTCTTGCATCTAGTCAATTTCTGTTCCATTCTGATTAGTCTAACCCATTTCCTTCTTGCTTTCACTTTTTCTACATTCTGTTTGCATCGAACTCCCACTATCTTACCGTTGTTATTTATTGTTATTTTTACGATGTGAGTTGTGGCAACTGGATCCACCACACTTTGTTGCTCGGATCATATTTGATCAACTGAACTGAATTTCCATGAAAAACACTTCACATTTGTCGTGAGAGTCGACTACGATGAGATATTTTCTGTCGTTGATCTGTTCTGTGTAGTCGACATGAATACGGCGCCATGGTCGTTAATGGAGCAGCTCCTCTTTCTGTGACGTTTTAGAACCTTGACGCACATTTGGCAACGTTTGGCCACTTCTTTCAGCTGTTAGTTCATGAAAGTCCAGTACACATAGCTTCGGCTGAGCGCCTTCAACCGGACAGTTGATTCCAGAATATCCTGCATGGAACTGCCGAAGTACACGTTCTTTTAGGACCTTCTGGTTTAAAACTTTCCGAAAATAGTATGTAGTCGTCCACAATGAAGTATGAATGTCTCTCCTAATAGTACTCCTGCAATTCGGCTGATGAACATGAATGTGGCTAACTGATTCCATGGTACTGAGACAGACTGTATTAAGAGCAAGTAGAAAAGTTTCTATACAACTCTACAGAATTGTGAAAAATCAAAATCATTTAATTGCGAATTCTCAGCGTCAGTGTTTGGTCAGTTAATCGTTTATTCTTGTTCCGTTAGGAGATCGTATTGGTGTCATTATTTCTGGGTATAGGATGCATTTTTTGCATTGTATGTGCACCGTTTCACAAAACAAGTTTCCAAAATAATCGTCGATACGTGTTTTGAAACACTTCACATAATCGGCCTCTATTAGTTCTCCTGGTAATGTATTCCATAAGTTTACGATTCATTGTTTTATACAAGGCTGATGTGATACCCTGAGTTTGTAACGGTGTCCTCGGGTGTTACACGGTTCCCACAGGTGAAATATTGGCCGCAGTATGCGGAAGTGATTCAAGTGTAGTACTAGATGGGTCATACTAAGGTCACTTCTTACTCGGCGGTAGGATGATGTGTAGGATTCCGAGCCTTTCAGAACGTTTTTCATACGAAAGATTTCGTAGACTGAGTATCATTCTAGTTGTGATGTGCCGTATTTTCTCCAACTTTTCCGTTTCCCATCGGGTTATCAGATGGTAAGCTGGGACGCCGTATTCAAGAATTGGTCTGGTGAGTGAGGTGAATAGGCGAGGGACGGTTTCTTCAGACCATGTGGAGAAACTGCGTCGTAGCGCCCCGAGCATACGAAGTCCCGCACGGTAAAATTTCTGTATTTTCTAGTGATCTTAAAACATATCGCGAGAGCACTTCTAAGTCTCTAACAGATCTGTTGGGGTGGAGCAACTGACTGCCCGAGGTGTATGATCGAGTAGCTGCACGTCTGGTATTATTGATGAACTCTGACTTGTTTGCGTTAAGAGGGAGTTGCATTTCAGTGGACCACGTTGACAGACGGTCTAAGTTATCCTGGAGACGAGCGCCATCGTCCTGGTTTTCAATGATCTTCCAGCTTTTCAAATCATCTGCAAACAGGGCACATGGTGACTGAAGTTGCTGCGGGAAATCGTTGATATGAATAAGTAATAACACTGGCGTAAGTACAGTTCTCTGAGTCACGCTGCTGGTCGATGGAAACCAGTCTGTCAGGTAGTCATTGACCTGTACTCTCAACTTCCCTCCCACAATAAACCCGTGTAACCACTGAAGTAGCGTGCCGCCGATTCCGTAGGTCCTCAGTTTACGAAAAGTACCTTGGGGTTTATTCTGTCAAACGCCTTACTAAAGTCGATGTACACCACATCAACATCCTTCCGTTCGTTGAGAGCTCGTACCCACTAGTAGTTTACTTACATCAAGTTGGTGGTGCAGGATCACCCTTTCATGAAACCGTGTTACGCTGGCCTCGATACGTCCATGGATTCGAAGAACGATAGCAGACACTTTTTCACAACCTTTTCGAGAACTTGAGATACTATCGGAGTCAATCAGATCGGTCTACAGTTCTCTAATTTACTCAGATCACTACCCTTGGCAAGCGGTCTCACTGTCAAGCATTTCCAGTCGTTGAGGACAGATCCCTCAGAGATTTATTGAATAGGTTTGTCACGTCTGGAGAGATGACATTCTACATGGACTTAAGTATTAGTATGTGAAGTCCGTCTGCTCCTGGAGGCTTTGCACCATAGAGTTTGATGTGTAGCTGATACAGTTCGGTTGCATCACATTGTAGGCTGTCAAGCAAAACTGGCGCAACCTGTGCCGGTGCTAGAACAGCCGCCGGTTTACTGAAAAATACGGTGATGAGGTGCGAAGCCAAGGCGTCCGTGTGCTTCTCGCAAGAAATGATCGTCTGTCCGTTCAAGCTCTCTAAGACCGGTAGGTTGCCCGCAGGTTTCAGTTGACGTTTCAAGTAGGCACATATTCTCTGTGGGGCGGTTGTGGCCGAGGCTGCTAGTTCCACTTCAAACTGCTGGCGTTCCTTGATCTTTGGGGTGTTACATAAGTTACTCTATTTCTTGTACACTGTGTAATTTTCATCACAACCCGAGATGATGTATCTGTCCCAAAGTTAGCGACGCCGTCGTGCTAACTTTATATTCCTTATCGAACCAATGTGGTTTGACAGCGGAACGAACCGAGTACATAGCGAGTTAAGCTTTCACTTCATTAATGATCAACAAACCTCAAGCGAAGCATCCTGTGGTAGTGTCCAATCAGTCTGACTTGGGGTTTGCACGAGCCCGTTGAAGTCCGTCTTCCAGCAGTTGAATGTCGGCTTCAGTTGGTGGTAATACGATAAAGGCAGTTCTGTGCTTGTCACGGTGGAAGCAGTGGTCACTGTTCGCTAGGGGTTCGAGGACTCTGACTTTTTCACATTTTGCTCGCAGCTCGTAAACATTAGGTCCAGACAATATGCCGAGTTCGGAATTATGCACCTCGGTTGGACGACATCTTACGTTGCCCCGATTGCAATAGTCATTTTAGCGAATTGAGCCTCAAGGTCGCTATGACCGGGAAGAAGCCGAATGTCTGGCCAGAATGTCAGATAAATTTAGATCCTCATCAGTAAGAAATGAGGGCAGTTCATATGCTTCTGTATATGTGGTAGGTAATCACAACAACGGTTTATTGAGCTACGGTAGATAACGCCCACTATTAGTTCTGCACGTCTGAGTCGGATTGAGCACCACAGTTGCTCGCATAAGTTATCCTCGCTCTGATAGGTGCTGATAAGTTTGCCAGATAGTGGCGATTTGATGTACAACAGAAAACCACAATGAGCCTTTACTTTTCGGTTGCATCGGAAACAATAGTATCCTGACAACGCAACTTCTGTGGGTATGACATCAGAGTTCAATCAAGTCTCTGAAAGTCCTAAGACGTCCTTCCGCTCCGAGACATTGATGCGGCACAGTTCGTCACGTTTGTTCATTAGGCTGCACACATTGGCGAATGCCTCACAGAGGTCCTAGGAGGTACCGCGGGACGTGCCTGAAGGTTGAGCAACCGGTTGATACGGGTTGGTACACTTTGATCACCCGAAAATTTACAATGTGTTGGTCAGTCTCACCTTCTTCTGTACGTCGTCTGAGCTCAAGGACCGCAGTCTTCAAATGATCCCTGTATTCGGGTTCCAAGTCTCGGCGGATGTGAACTTTTATGCCTTTCAGCCTTGACAGAGGAAACAGTATGAACTGCAGCATGTTGTGATTAGCTAATTTGATTCTCAAAGGTCGACATTGGTTAGTTTGCTGACCAAGTCTGACTACTTGTTAAGCGTCACAATGCCTTTACCCATATTCAAAAGCCTATCGATGAGACCCTCGGAGGAACTCAACTTCGTGAGGGTTTTCATCTTTTGACTCTTGCGTGGAAGACCATTAGACTGTGACGCCTCAGCGTAATCGGTGATGAACCTGTGAAAGCAGGAATAGAGACGCTTACCGGTGTGGGTTATTATTTACCAACAGGGGACGCCTGAGCTCGGTTGCGTGGCCCCTTGCACTTTTGAGTGGTCCATGGATCCCTAGTGCTCAGAGATTCACAGACAGATCAGTGAAGCGGCATTTCGTAGGTTCTGCGTCTTCAATTCGTGGGGAACATTGAACCCGAGACTCCGCCGGGTTCGAAGACGCTGGTGGTG